CCGTCAAATTAGCCGAAGGCCATTTTGGGCGGTGCCCTTATGCGATTCTTTGCTAAAATTTTAATTTGAAAACAAAATATCAGTGTTGACTTCCAAATTCTTGCGTGCGAGGACTTCTTTCCTCGACCAAGGGATCATTACTAGCAAAATAACTATAAAAAGTCATTCAAAGATAAGCGGGCCTTGCTACTGGCACTCACCCATTACATAAAACAAACGAATACAGCTTCACTACCTCGGATAATTCATGGACTAAACAAGGCGGTTTTAAGGCCAATTAATTCTTTACTAAAAAACGGTTTTGAATCTATTATTTCTACGCTGAAAAAGCAGCTGTACTAAAAACCAAGTAATTTTAAAAAATCTTGTCACCCTCACATGCTTTATCTGTAAGAAATGTTTTTTGCCCCACTACATTCAGGTTAGCTGGCCTTTGCTTCACCGTGACATTTTCATCCCTAATTAAATACGATTCTAGAATAAAGAGGAACATGAAGAAAAATATGGGAAAAAGAACGAGGTCAGTGAATCACATTACTTTTTGGTGCAGTTAAGTTCCACCCAAAAACTGTGTCCATTACACGCCACACTGACAAAGAAGCAAAACAAAGCTAACTGCCTTGGAAAGAATGTAAATTTTTTTATTCGGTGAAGTGCATACTATGGAGGACAGAAGCTAATGTATTCCAAGCGCCCAAGTCTATCACACTCCTTTGTCATCGCTGTCCTTTCTTTCCAACAGTGGCCCAGTTAGCCAGCAAGCTAGCTAGGCCGAACAAAATAAAGTTCTAGGAGCGCATCAATGTGTTTATCGTACAATTTCACAAAACCTGACCTAGATGTTTGCAGAGAGCTTGCAGTAACTGATCTAATATCCAGTAAAAGACAAGTGCCTGACAAAAAATTTTTGTGGCGCAGATGCTTCGCGTTGAGAAAAAAAGGGATCACCGTTACAAAAAATGAATTCACTACGTCATTTTATTGAAAGAGCAGTTGCCGTTTCTCGACTAACAGTGGATTACGCCGGCTGTCGTGATTCTTTTTTATTTTTCACCAAGAGTGGAGGTTCTGCTTCTGAATCATCGTGTTCATTGATAATAACTGCTGTTGTGTAGCCATCGGGCAGACTCTCCTCTGACCAGTTTGAGGAAGATCCACAACTGATTTTCCGTTCCTCATCTTTGTGGATGCTCATTTTGTGTACTTTCGAGGCTCTTCCAGATGGATCTTCATTTTCCTGCACTTTTTAGCATTTTAGAAAAAGTTTCTCTAAACTTCTGTAAAAGACCTAGAATTGTTTATCTAGTTCGTCTTAAAGAATTACGTATTAAGCACATTAGTAAATGAGTTTGAAGCTTAGGTCCCAGAACTACAAAAGCGAATACGCTGGGATTTGGAAACAACATCTCTGGCTCCGTATAAATCCAACATTGTAAAAACAATTTTCATTTCCTAATGCAAGGAACAATAAGGGTCTGGCTGTATGATTTGCTATCATCTAACAGTTTTGCAGTTTGCAGTGCGATGTCTTGAGCTTGACCTCCGGAAAGATTATATATTGCCATCTGATGAAAAGAACAATAAGCAATCATGAACGAGATGAAAAGAACTGCAAGTTTTTTTATACTCACCCACCTGTATTTGCAAGGTCTCGCAAAAACGCGAAACCTAGAGAACCCCTCGTGCAGAGTACTATTTGTTGAGCTTTCACCGAAAGTTCGGCTCTCCTACGACGTAATTAATAGCCTTATTTTAAAAAGCAAACACAAACTAGTGAAACAGCCAGGCGATCGCTCCACAAATTGATACATATGAGAATCAGTCTGAGGATTTGAATCTCAAGCATGCTTGACATGCGAGAACCAATCGGACACCGCGATAAATCAGTAAGTGGTTCAAGCGTTTTGATTCCAAACCTGTTTTTACTATGGCTGAAAAAAAAATGCTTACCTGCCATTTCGGTATCCATTTCATTACGGTTTTTGCAGCATTATCACTTGGAAAATGTTCGTGGAAAAGTTTGCGCATGAAAAATGCTTCCTTTGAATGTGGTGTATTTATTGGAAACATTTCTGATGCTCGCGCCATCTAGAAAATTTGGATGCAAGGACTATGCGAAAGTTGTTTTCCACCGCTGTTCAT